ATAATGAAACTTTCAGATACGGTGAAAATCTACTGAGAAAAGTTCATAATGTATTATTCTATGGTGAATTACAAATCTATATTTCTAAAGCAGAGTTCCTGATTGCTCTCTGTTTTAAAATAATGAGAAAATGAAAAAAATATAAATTACACACCTACTACAATGAATGCTATGCTTAACAAAAAAATTTAATAAACACTGTACTGAACTGGTGGTACCAAGACCAAACCTTTGAGATTTTGTGCATAACCATTTACTCTGGTGTTAATCCAGCCTTACAAAATGAATACCACACAACTGTTCTAGTAAGCTGGTTGGTATGATTCTCTCCACATCACTCTATTGTCTCATTTGGTCTAAAAAATATCCATGTGGCACCATATTTGTAATATGCCATCACAACATAAAAACTGGGTCTCTTTGATAACACTAGTTCATATTTTTCCAAAAGTTAGTTTTTTTGGTTTCAGAATTTAAATATATAATTTCTTTTTGATTTTGACAAGCTGATTTCCAATAACATAATGAAATTCATGGTTTTATTATGAATTAACATTACAGTAATACAAATAATGTATGACTGTTTAATTGTTCGGTATAAAAACAATTATCTACTTTAGCATTATAAAAATTGTGGTGACATGCTCAATTAATTGACATTTCAACATAAAATGATACAAAAAATTATTATATCATTTAAAGTTCAATAAAATGTTTTAAAACGGCACATTTGAATCCATTCCACCATTATTAAGTCACGGTTTTGTAGTCAATTAATGAGGTGTCTCTTATCAAGTCTAACATTAATCAGTATGCACAGAAAGGCTCTAACTGCCTTGGTATCTTGTCTCCATAGCAGCAATGTCATGGTAAAATCAATTACCATGCATTCATCATTGGCAGCTACACAGCTTGAGGTAAAGAAATCCAGATAAGAATCCAGAAAATCTTTTTCTTTTTAATTTGTCAGTGTTACGTAATTGCACTGTATCTGTCTACAACATAGTTGCAGTATGTGCGCCTTTCAGTTGATACATATGACCTCTTTAAGCATTCGTTGACTGGGTTAACTTCTAGAGATCCAGACAATAAATTTTTTAAGACATGTTGCATTCAAGACTCTTATATTTCAGAAAGGGATTTCTACAATTTCACTTTGATTATCGTATCTGTTATTTTAAAGAAAATTATCTATCACTAACTTAAATACTAGCCATGTTGCTTTTTCTTTGCCATACAATATGCACTGAAACTTTTCATCATGAAGATGCTTTTGAATTTGCGGACCAACAATATTCCTTCTCTTATTTTAGTTTCACTCAGTCTTATAAATTTTCTGATGAGGTATTTGAAAGCCTCATCTATTTTTCCACTGCCCTGCCTTCCTATAGACATAAATTCTGACATCTTCTTCCAGGAGATTCCACTGTTGCACTCTGGAACCCAAAAGCTCAACCCTGTTCTTCAGTAAATTCAGATATTTTACAACACCTCTTAAGTTTCCTTTGGATGTAGTTTGCTCAAAATCTGTGTCACTTGAGGTTGAGGATCATTAATGCACTCTTCTATATCATGGAAGCAGCTGAAAATGATTCTGGCACTTTAAGAATTGGTAGGCCATCACAATGTGGTATCAAACGCATTGCAGAGGGGATGTTTGAGGTGACAGAAATATCACCTCACCACAAATTTAACATAAATTGTTAGTGCTGTTCACACATATCCTAGGCATTTCTAACTAAGATACTTTTTATAAGGATATAAGCACTAACTAATGACAAAATACATTTTATCAGAGATGATACATATATAAAAAAGATGATGTAATCATAGATAGGAATGCATCATCAACTTCTAGTTACATTTTTTTGTTTATTTAATCGCCCACGACAGTTGTTCATGTATATAAAATGATGGTAAATAAATAAACTAGCAGCATATATCTTGAAACTAGAAACAATTAACATTTTAAATGTAATTTTCGTTTTCAGCACACCAAAATCAGTATTTTCGTTTCTGAAACATTTTGGTTGTTGACTACTGTAATCAATTTACTCAGCTTCAGCTCCAACCAACAATGCAGCACTCTGCTCATTGAGGATGATATAGTAATGGCTCAACAGTCAGTCCAGGATAAAATACACAAGGTATTTGATTTAGTGTGTGGGTGTATCTACAGATACAGATATGATGGACTTAAAAAATATAGCTATCCTCCGAATAATGATATAATGGCGGCCAAAAGCAGGGCCTCAGTCATATGTAAACTGCGGACTTCCGGCGATTTAAATTGCGGACTTCCGATGACTACCGCCACCGCCGAGAGTAGCTCCCGTGCCGCTAAACAAGATGGCTGGGACTCATGAGCAAAACTGCAGGAAGCTGCTGCTCGTGAGTCCCAGCCATCTAGTTTAGCCCCGCTCAACGCCGCATGTAGGGGCGCTGAGATACTCTCGGCGGTGGCTGTAGTCGTCGGAAGTCCACAATTTAAATCGCTGGAAGTCCGCAATTTGTATGTGACAGAGGCCCTGTCAGGATGTGTTTTTGGCCGCCATAATATGTGGCTGTTATTCGGAGGAAAGCCAAAAATACTTCAAATATATTTACATACAAATGCATTATTTACATTAATACTATACAAAGTCTACACGTAAGATCATCATCATCATCCCATAACAATACGTGTCGTTGGGTCACCAGTTTCTGTTGGCTGTCTGATCATCTCTCTCCACCTTTGGCGGTCAGTTGTGATGGACTTCATGGTTGCATGCCTGAGGCCTGTCCAGTCAGTCAGGTTCTGTAACCAGGTATTTCTTCATCTGCCTCTTCTCCTCTTTTCCTCTACTGAGCACTGCAGTATTGTTTTTGAGAAGCCGTTAGATCTTATTACATGTCCGTACCATTGCATTTATCGCCTTTTCACTGTAGTTAAAAGAAGTTCATAGTTGCCAATGTGCAGTATAATTTATGGCGAACCTCTTTGTTTGTATTGTGGTCTCTGTATGATATGCCAAGAATTTTTCTGAAACTTCGCATTTCTGATGCTTGTATCTTTCTTTCAAGTTCAGATGTTAAGGTCCACATTTCACAGCCATATGTAAATGTACTAATAGCAAGTGCTCTGAGCAATTGAATCTTAGTTTTACATGAAATGTTTTTGGATCTCCATATTTGCTGCTTGGCAAGGACTGATGTTGTCTGGGCAATCCTTGACATGATTTCTGATCATGATTCCAAGTCACTTAAAATGGATCCTAAATATTTAAAATGAGTCATTTGTTCTAATTTGTGACCTTTAATGTAGATTGGAGAAATTCTGCCAGCTGGATTATTAGTCATTACTTTTGTTTTTTTTAGATGTCTGAGAAGGGCTGTAGGAGTGACCATAAGAGATAATATCAGGAATGAGATCATAAGAGAACAAGTCGGCACAGAACCAATTCTGGATTACATACAAAGACAGCAAGTGAAATGGTTTGCCCACTTAGAGAGAATGTCTTGTGACACCATACCATACAAAGCTTACATGAAAAGAGAAGAAGGACGTAGAGCACGGGGTAGACCAAGAACAAGATGGTAGATAACATCAGAGAAACTTTACAACAGCACGATGTGCCTATGGTCGAGGCAGCCAGAAGAGCTAGAAACAGAACCTTTTATCTCCCTCGACACCCACAGCGGTAAAAGAGGAAGTGAAGAAGAAGAAGAAGAAGACTTTTGTTTTTTCTGCGTTTATTTCCATGCCATACTTGGTTGATGTTTCACTGTGTAAATTTACAAGCTTAATTAGTTCTTGTTCTCCGGCCAACCCATCAATGTCATCTGCAAACCTTAAGTTTGTTATAGTTCGACCTCCAATACTAACTGTTCCATGATGTTGTTCTAGGGCATCAGTCATAAGTCTTTCTAAGAAGATGTTAAACAGTGTTGGAGAGAGGAGGCAGCCCTGCTGGACCCCTACTGTTGTTCAGAACCAGCTTCCTACTTGTCTGTTCACAGCGTGACAGCACTGCTGGCCTTGGCATAAAGATGTTCTATGGTAGGTATGAGGGTTTTACCATACTGTACTTTTTAATAGTGTTCCAGAGTGCTAAATGCTATACTCTATCAAAGGCCTTTTTGAAATCAATGAACCCATGGTATAGATGTTTTTGGTGCTGGTGTTATTGCTCAGATAATATGCAAAGATTAAATTTCTGTTCAATGGTGCTTCTTCCAGCACGGAAACCCGCCTGTTCCTGTGCTATGATCTTTTCTGCATGTGGCTTTACTCTGTTTAGGAGTATCTTGAGCATGACTTTATTGGGATGACTGATGAGACTTTTGTCCTATAAATTTGACATTGTTGTAAATTCCCCTTTTTTGGGATGGTAATGATGAGTGATTTGGTACAAAGAAATGGCCATTCACCAGTCTCCCAAATGTTGTTACAGATTTCAGTGAGGATGTCGATCATGTAAGATCTGCATGTAAGATCATTTACAAAATTTTGTTTTATACATCAGATAGCTTATAAAAATGTCTACACATGCAAACAGATGTTAACTCAAAATTTTAAAACTATAAATGTATAAATGGTGGTTTAAAGGACGTTGTGTTGAGAAGCTGCTCTTTTACCATTAACGCCTGGCCGAATCAGAAGGAGAGAAACCAAGGAGGAAACATCAGAAATGAAAAGACAAGAAGAACACAGTTGACAACAGGATAGGGAATAAGCGGTCTGACTTGGAGGAAAGAAGCATTAAGCCCAGAGACGGCGCAAATAACAGAAATTTAGCTACAAAAGTGATGCAAATAAACAAGACCACAAATATAGCCGGAGACTGTTGGCAGCTTCAGCTACCTAGCAGCAGGCTGAGTGTGGTTGAGTTGTATTTTTTCTTCAAAGGAATTGGAATTGGAGACAAATATTCATTTTGAGCTGACCATATGCTCTAATAAACATTATAATGATCAACTCATTTTATTTTGTGTTATAGTAAAATCATTTGACAACATACTTCTTCTGCTTCTTTAAAGTTTCCAACAGCTGCTTTTGCTTGACCATAGTTAAAATTGAATGTATCATCATTGTAAAAGTAGCTCTGAAATGAAAAAGTCAATTTAAAAAACAAACAACAAACAGATAAGTGTGTCCTGCAATGATCTACTTTGCTGCATTAAATTCCTCTGCTTTATATATAACCACATTCAAGAATGTAGACACATATGACGATTTCTGACACATGATTTGAACTTATCTTACTTTTAAATTTGACCAGCAAGACTGCGTCCATTGCTAAGAATTCTCTATTCAATTTTGCATCAGCTAGTCTTTCTTGGAGATAATTAGCCAAAAATATTTTATGTGTGTAACCGTCAAATTTTCGATCAATCAGACGCAGCTGATCAAAACAAATGATCTGAATGAAACATATGGTTCACGTCATCCCAACCCATTTTGCTGTAATCTAAGTCATCACCAGAACTACATTTTTCTTCATTTAACAACTGCTGCATAAGATCTAAAGCCTGCGGGTTTGGTAATTCTTTGGGTCACTCTACAGTAGATGCTGAAGGGTTGGAAAATGCTATTTTAGGAAAATTACATGCACGATAGTAATGCACTGATTTAATTAAAGTAAAACAAGAAACTTAATCCTCTTACTCGCTCACGCTTTGCAAACGCAAATAGTTTTTTTTCACTAATTCTAGTTTTTCAAAACAGGTTTATACAAAATTAATTTTCTTAGCCAACGAAACAATATTAGAGTGTCTATGTCAACAACCACTTAAATGCTGATACGTCTAAAAGTGATCGGCTCTACTGCTAACCAAAAAGAAAAATGTCCAGAAAGAGTTAATCATAAAATACAAACAGAGCAGAGAATTAACAGCTTTCCTTCCCTAAGATCACTAAACAAGTGGTTTTGTTTATTAGCCATAAGGAGCAAAGTCATGTATTATGAGGTTTTAATGATGTCATTGTGACTTCACAGTTTACAAAATATCATTTTTTTTCACCCTAATACACCTCTATTATTTTGGTAAATACACTCTAATCATACCCACTACATCTACATACTATGCAGTTACAACCAGCAGTAAAGGTTTGATACAGGTGAAAGGCCACTGCCCAAAGACTTCATGTCAACAAAAACTTAAAAATTCCAGAAAAATGGCTTTCTCTGGGTAACATGGTTAAGTCGTTCAGGTCCAAGAAGTTATAACCACAATACTTTTTAAGTATATGTACTTTAAGAAAAATGATCTTTGAGTCAATGAATTTAAATGATAACCTATGAGACAACAAGATTTAAAGTAACTTTTAGAGTTGAAAGGGTTAATGCAAAGGAAGAATAAAAGAGAATGTGTTCTGATATGTTTACCATGTATACAGTAAGTGACGAATGCATTTTACATGCTACCCATTTAAGACTAGGTAGAACGGCAATAAAAAAAAGCCATTTAGTTCCTATGAAAATACCTGCAACTGCTATTTTAAAATAAATATATTCAATTATTGGGTCTCCTAAAACACTGTGCAGGCGTGAAAAGAACCCACAACAGTAAACTATGGTTTTCTGAAACAGGTCACTGCAAATAATCCTGTTTTGCGCACCTAATAGGGTTTTGTCAATGACAGAAAAGTAGGTTTCAGGGTTTTCTAGGGTGATTGGGTTAACACATGCATTGCTATAGCCAGCTTTTAATTATTTCTAAACATACCTCATACTTCTGTTGATTAGAAAGAAAAAAGTATTCAAAGTTTGTGACATTTTCAATTTTTTACTGTAGATTTGTGATTTTTGGTTGATACTAGGGCTGTACTGAATAGTGATTTTCACTATTCGGCCGAATACGAATAACGGGACCAAATATTCGGACGAAAACGAATATGAATTCTGTAAAGTGTATAAAATATATCACACACAAAAAAACACACAAAAAATTCATAATGTCAAATGAACGCTGAACTTTTACTTCACATAAAGTAGCACAGAATAGTCATCTTCTTCTTTAGCATTCTGAGCCCTTGAGGTTTACTGCTGCAGATATCACTCGTCTCATTCATCTCTCTGGCTGGCCTTCTCTTCACAATTTGTGACACCAGTTGTTTGCAGGTCTGGCTGGACATTATCTCTCGAACTTCTTTTTTGTCTGCCTCATGGTCTACTCCCATTCATCTCGCTTATGTGTACAGTTTTCACTTCTCTGTCATCTGACATTCTTTCAATATGCCCCAACCATTTTAGTCTGTTAGCTCTCATGATGCCAATGATCAATGGTGATTTAAACAGATTATGTGTTACATTGTTGCTTCTCACTCTCCATTCCCCTCTGTTAGCATCTTTGATGGGTCCAAAGATTTGTTGTAAGACTGTTTTCGAAAACCTGTAATAAGGCCTCATCTCTTTTATTTCTGCTTCAAGTTTCAGAGCCACATAAAACGACTGGTCTTATCAACGTTTTATATATTTTGATCTTGGTGTTGTGAGACAGACACTTTGATTTTAGCAGATGTTGAAGGGCATTGTATACTTTATTTCTAGATTGTATTCTATATATATATATATATGTATATATATATATATATTAATATAAACTCCAACCACACCCAAGTCGATAATATAAAAACAAAATGAGCGGAAACATATAAGTACTTGGGTGCAAACTCATGATGATGATGATTCTAGATTTTTTTTCCTCTCTCAGCATATTGGAGCAGTTGAAGTTTGCACCCAAGTTATATGTTTCCGTTCATTAGGTTTTAATATTATCGACTTGGATGTGGCCGGAGTTTATATTCTTTTCATGTCTAGTAAGTATTCGTACAGAATAGTAAAAATTTAAAAACATTTTATATTTTGCATCCTTCAGTCAGTTTGTGGTAACTAATAACTAGGAATGAAAGAATCCTAAGTATTATAACAAGTAACTAAATTTGGAAATTGTCACTGACAGCTCAGTTAATGCATGAAAGCTGCATTAGCTTTCAACAAAACCAATTGTTCCATGCTGTCAGTATTAAATCCGTGTATGTAGAAGCGGGTGTAAGGTAACTACTATTCATATTCGGCCCGACCGCAACTATTCGGCCGAATACTGAATAGTCAATAGGTCCACCATTCTGCCCCCAAGCGATATTCGGTACAGCCCTAGTTGATACATAGTTCTTCTTGTGGACATTATTTATTTATCTTCCTATTTACTAGTATTTATTATTTATTTTTCTATACATTCAGAAAAAATGTTTACTTTTCATATCCCAAACACTATCTGAGAAGGACATGTTCATCGGAATTCTAAAAATTAGACTTCAGTCAATTATAATTATCATCAATGGATCATAACTGTCACAGGTCTCATCATTTCTGATGATTTTTGTTACATTTTCCCACAGACGTTGAACGTATGGGGACAGCACCCAATTCTATCTTACACCTGTTTGCACCTCAAGCCAGTTTATTGTTCAAGCTGCCACTGTGACCATGCTTGTTGTTCATAACATAACGAGTCAATGAAGTTCATTAAACATGCTGGAAATCCTACATCTTTCATAAAGTTGTACAACTGTGAAAGTCCAACAGAGTTTAAGGCCTTAAAATATATTCTACAAAACAGGTTTGATAATTTATATTTTCAGCTGCTATGGTCAGTATTTTGGGAATACATAATATGGTATTTTCCTTCTGCTTTCCCATCCACATGACTGTGGGCTACATGATCCTGTCTTTAGCAACCTTCTAAGTTGCCAGAGCAGGTGGGTACTAACATCAGAGTACCCCAGACATAGTTCACCCCATCAGCTTGAATATTAATGATTACTGTTTCATTCTTTTGTTGTCAATGGATATTTCTGTAGGAAGTTAGCTTTAAGTGCACCCGTTGACAGTGACTGTTTACCTTATGAAGATTTTCCAACATAGCTTACTGTCCTTCACATTATTCATTCATTCATTCAGTAGCATGTCCCTCGCGGAACCTCGCTGCCATAACAACCCTCCGGAAAACCTTCCTATCCTGAGCAAGATGTCCTGCGTCTGATACACCCATCTGGAGATCATCTGCCACATCCTGCACCCATCTTCTCCTTGGCCTTCCTCTTCCTCTCTTCCCAGGCATATACCCCTCCATTATTGTTCTCTCTAGACTTCCATGACGTTTCAAGTGACCAAAATATTTCAATTTTCTTTGTTTTATTGTCTTTACTAGCCAAACCTCTTCAATATTCAGCTCTTGAAGTATGGATGCATTTGTTCTTTTCTTTACCCAAGATATTCTTAGAACCTGTCTGTAACATTTATATTCAAATGCATTTATGCGCTGTTCCGCTTGTTTAGTAAGTGTCCAGGTCTCACAGGCGTATGTTGCAATGGGAAAGATGCATGCTCTTAAAAATCTGACCTTTGTAATTCTATCTGTACGATTCCATAATTCACATTATTACACATAAATTATTCTACTAATTAGCAACAGGAATCAAAAACCGCAACAACACTTTGTAGCAATATGAATCACACCAAATATGTGAAATTTATTTCAGGACCATTATTTCTGGTGAATTTTACTAAAAATCTTACTCTATATAATGCACATACCTTTATGGAATTTAAATATATAAGCACATCCTCAAATTGCTTCAACAAGAAAAAACATGATGCCATGCACTGACGCCCTGGTATTGTGTCTGAAAAAAATACATGGACACAAATACAAGAAAATGTAAACTATAATTTCACACTTGTCACAAATAGTCAGTATGAGAACCTTTTTGTGACAGGCAGGCAGATGCAGGTGTTTGCATCTATTACATGTCATCCTCATAAAAATGATGAAAATTGTCTGCAAATTAATCATCATCACCCCCTGGTGTGCCGTTAGATGTTACATAAGGCTCATATTTGATTCCCCCACTCCGCTCTACCGCATGCAACTCTCTTGATTTATGACATGGAGTTTAGCCCAGCATTTTTTAGCCTCTCATAATAATGTTCTTTGTAACGTTTTCCTTGGCTGTCCTCTTTTTCTAAGAATGTTTGTTTCCCGTTAGTGTTTTTTTGGGTGTAATTCTTTGTTCATTTTGTCTTAGACTGGCTCAACATGCTGTAAGCAAGGTCTTACCTCAGAGTAGCTGCAGACAAGAAACAAGACTTGCATGAAGCTCTATGTCAGTGTTTCCCAACCTTTTTTGTTTGTGCCATGCCTCATCTAAGCCTTTCTAAAATTCTTATGCCCCCCTGTGTAACTTAAACTCTGGCAAGTTCAATTTCAAATTGCTCCCTTAACAATCTATTGCCCCTCCCTCCCACGCTGGGAAACATTGAACACTGCTCTAGATAGAGTTAAGGGTCACAGATCGAAAACAGGAAGGTCTTGAATGGTGTATGCAAAAGACACAACTAGACATGTGTGCTGGGGTGACCATGGTGAAGTGGTCAGGCTATTTGCCTCACACTCTGAAGGTCTTGGATTTCTTCACAACTGAATCATTCGCTTTATAAGTGCAATGTTTACAGAAATCCCTAGAATCATCACTGCAGAAAGGGAGTTTGTGATTTGTGTGATGCTCTCAGCAGGTGGCTAGCCGATCTGCGGGCAGCCACCAAGTCATATGGAATAAAGCCTGGTGCAATGAAGATGATCCTCTCGACTTTAACTAAAGGCGTGTGTGACTGCTTGCAAATATTTGAAAGGAGAGGAGCTGGTTAAAGTGGCCGAGCAACAATCAGACTTGTAATCACACTAGGCCAGTAATGCAGGGACTGGCCAGGAGACACTGCAGAATGAGAAATTCAACTGATTCATGGTAGGATTATCTATAGCCATGTTTAATCCAATAGGTTTTTTCTTCTCAAAATATGTGCAATAATTCTTGACTATCCATATCTCATTTCTCTAATCAGTTTGCAATTTTCCTCTGTTTCTTGGAGGACCATTTTATTTGTTTTCTAACTGTGTTTTATTTACAATGGTTGGTGTCTTCTGCACAGTGATGCCCGCTCAGGTGATGTGATTATTTATACAGTTGGTTTAGTGTCAAGAAGTAAATGATGCGCATGGGAGTTCGCAGCAAAAGCTAATGGTCGACATTTGGTGCAGGAGAGCCTAGCATAAGATATCACAACATCTAGCTTACGAATGGAGCTGCAGGCAGTCACTGCAGCTTTTCGTTTGCTACAGAACATTATACACACACCATGATTGTAACTGACTCGGAAAGCATGCTGAGGAAGATGAGGACAGACAAGTTTCATACAGAGTGAAAAAAATCCAGTGAACTGTGACTAAAAAGCTTAATGAAATGGGGAAGCAGAACAGCATGCACAACACAAATCCATGTTTTGGCCTGGGCCTTTCTGAAACTGAACTAAACAACAATAACGAAGGGAAGACTACTCCAACCACCAAAGGGTCACGTGAGAAACTATAGAAAAGGGGAAGTGAAATGAATAAAATATAATATAGGAAGGCTCGAAAAATAGTCGTACAAATAATAGTGATAATATATAATAGTAAAATAATAGTAGTAGGAATAAAAGAGTAGTAGAAAACAACTGTTAATGAACCATAAATTATACTTGATTAGAAATAGAAAAAAGTAATAATATGAAATAAAATAAGCATAAAAAATAAAATTAAAAACAAATAAATCAGTAAAATTGTTTAGATGGACACTGATGCCTCTTGGACTAAGAACACCTATTCTGAGGATGAAGCAATTTTCCAAAGTGAGGCGCATTGTATGATTGACAGTGCAAGATTTACTCGCTATGACACATATATTATCTCTGCCTCTGTGGTCAGAGCTGTTAAAATGGTGAGAGATTGGTTTATGTGATTTAAAAAAAATTTTGGAGATGTGTTCCTGGAACTGATCAGCTAACCTCCTGCCAGTTTCCCCAATGTATGCCTTGAAACATCTTTTGCAGATTACAACATAAATTACTTTTCAGGAATTAGCAAGTAAATGGTTCCCTAATTTGGAAAGAACCATTAGGGAAACTGAGTGATAAGGTCTGGACAATGAAAGGACAAGTCTTGCATGTGGTACAAGGCAGTGGGTGAGATGACGTATGAGGAGATAGCTGTGAGAATCTGTAGGTTTGTAGTAGGCTGTAATCTTCAAACATGTTAAATCGATGCTGATCATGATGTCAAATAAGTTTACTGAAGTGGTGGAGATCAGTGAGGTGAATTTGATAGCAGGTTGAAATTATTAATGAAATGGATGAATTGGTCGAGATCCCCTATGAATATTTCTGTAATGCCAACGCCATCATCTATGTACCTCCTATACACCTCCAGAATTTTGCCTGGGTATGGTAAATTAACTTCGTATTCAAGGTAGCCCAAAAATAGGCATGTGTAACTGGGTCTAATCTTGGTGCCCATTGCAACCCCACTGATCTGTCAAAATATAGATACAGTGGATGTCCAGGGTTGTTGGGCTTATGGATCTTTGGCAACAGGTACACAAACGCGGCTTGCCAAGATGGCTGTAAAAAATATGAATGTTGTTAGCCTGCTTTGGAAGAGTCCCTCATGAAATAAATGATTGTAATGTGTCCAACAAGAAAGTCAAGGACACGCATGTTCAGGGACACCCATGTATTTCTACTGCTCTTTTATTCCTACTAATATTATTATATTATTATATATTAACACTATTACTTTTATGACTATTTTTGAGCCTTCTTTTATTTTATCTCACATCACCTTTTCTACAGTTTCTCACATGACCCTTCGATGGTTAGAGTAGTCTTCCGTTTGTTACTGTTGTGTATTTCAGTTATGTCGAGAAAGGCCCCAGCTGAAACTTCGATTTGTGTTGTGTTGTGCACATTGTGCTACTTCCCCATTTCAGTAAGCTTTTTAGTCGCAGTTCATTGGATTGATTTCTTGGTATTAGCTTGACTGCAGCCATCCCCATTTTCATACACAGCTTCATTTCAGAAGTCACAGATGGATTTTTTCTTATTATTATGGTAGTGAAAATTTGATGCATAATAAGGCAAATGTGGTTAACGCCTTATGGGAGCACATGTACAATTCAGAGGAGCAAATGGATCATCACAGTCAGGTGAGAGTAATGCAGCAAAGCGTCCTGAACAAAGAAAAGCAAGATGGACATATAATCAGACTGCTGCTGGTACCACTGGTATTGGAAATCTGTGCTGGCTAACAAAGATGAGGACGGAGCATTTATGGGAATACCTCGAGTTCTGTGATGTCAGTTTTTAAAATAGTTTCAACTCAACATGTAATAGTGGGTAGAATTGAAACAATTAATGCTCATCCTTTAGTGCGTAGCTTGATGCATAAAACAGGACATAAATAAATTACAATAAAATTATTAAAAATGAAGTAAACAAAACACAAAAAAAAACAAAAAAACACACACACACACACAACATATAGTCAGAAAAAAAAGACGGAAAGGGGGGGGGGGGGGGGGGGGGGGGGGGGCTTTGGTATTTAATTAGTAAAATATGTTACAACACTTACTACTATACAGAATTTGGTAAGAGAATTTAACATAATTAGGTACAGAATAAGCCCCATAAAATATAATTTAGAAATTTTCAACAAGTGCAACAAGGAAATGATAATCTGTTTTCTCACATGTAACATTTCCTTTCCTTCACACTCAAAATATAATGAATCTGAAATGAAAAGTTGCAGAAACCATTAACCAAATTACTGATGAAACTACTGTACTTACCACATTCACTAGCAGAGCCACCAACTAACTGAAAGTATTGTTGGGCAATCTTTAAGTGTTCCCGCTGAAAGATAGGAAACATATTTTTATTTTAAAACATTTGCTCCTGAAATGTTTCAAAGATCCACAAAACCAGGTGCATTGTTTGTGGGGACATGATGACCACATGTACAGCCCTGTGGTGATGGTTTTGCTAGCGCACCATGTACTCAATTTAACGAGGTTTACCTGCTCAGGGGACTGACCACCCAGGGAAAAACAATGAGAGTATATAATTAACTGTCCCTTGAAATGTAATATTCAAGAGCCAGCACATATAAAGTTTTAGGTTTTCAGGATATAACCTTGTACCACATGTCCATGTCAAAATATGTCAGCCAGTTTGGAAGTCTGAAGAGGATGGACAAAAGACTTATAGGACCTCAACTATCATGACAGTACATGAGAGGGAAGGCAGGCTATGTGGACATGAGTGTGAGACATAAAAACTTCAGACTAGACTGGAGAGAATGTGAGTATGAGGAGGACGGGTGAAATATGTTCTATATGAATATGCTTGCTGTGTGTAAGAAACCTGAGCTTTCATATGGGTATTTATTTTCACTTTCCAGTTTCCACATGTGGCAGGGACGGTCGGAATCTATTCTGTGCAGACAGTCTGTGTGTGATGACCTAATTGAATTAGGAGGACAACAAGCTGAGAAAGGTTGCAGTCTCCTCCTTAAAGCTGTACCAGGTTTTCAAGTTATGTTATCACCATCGTTACACCATCCTCACTCTACCAGCATATGCACATATTGAACTCATTGAGTTACTAATTACCATCACCGAGCTATTATTTTTTATGATTGCAAGACCAATACCAATTTATTTCTGATTTTTATTTATTCAATAAAATCATGTTCAAGTTTGTTAACTATTTTTTTATAGTTCCAAGTGGCTAGGTTCGTAATGTGTGTAATTTAACACTTTAGTTTTAAAGGATTTAACAATCACTATCACACTTGGTGGGGGCTTTTGTTATACATTAATACCAGGAGAGGAGAAAGTTACAGGAGTTAACTGTGTATCTTAATATTCTTGTCTTGAATTACTCTTGATATAATATTACCCTTTTCCAACTCCTGTGGATACAAGTAGTTACTTTCATTTTATTGTACAAGCCATTTTTGCTGTTTTTTTGGTAATCCAGGACTGTCTTTGGGTTCATAAGAGCTTAGATTTTAGTGCACGTTCTTACATGGGTGTGCAGTGTTGGCGTTCAAACCTACACACTCACTATATAAGTGAATATACTTACGTGGGTTGACGACACTCTTAAGTGTGTTCAATATGAGAATCAAGTCAGCAGATCTAAGTACATGACAACTGGGAAGCAATGGATGTGTATGTAGGTCCAGAAAGAACTGTCAAATCTTCACAACAGATACAGTGCACCAACCTATCCTTCAGTGTAGCAGAAGCCCCAGAAAACTGTGTCCAAGTGGACACTACATGGAAACTACTCATACGAACATCCTATAAAATAGTATGATTGTCTAAGTAAGGAAATAATTAAGCTCCCTCTTTATATAACAACAAATGTGATATTTTCTTATGAGAGGATATCAACATATCTGTCATGATGACTCTGAATGGAAGCAAAAGGATTGTTGTAGGTCAGAAGATGGTTATAATTAGAACTGGGAGATTGAAGTTCATGTGATATTAATATACAGACACAGCATACGTCAAGGTCTGAAGGTAACTGAATTGTCACGCCACACTGTATGTCCTTGCTGCAGTCACGACATTGGATAAGGTCAGATTCGGATCCCCTTTAGCTTTGTAGACAGTTCTCACTATTTCCATTCTCTTCAAGGAATGCTTTTGTTACAGTGAGGAAAAGACACATACAAAAAACAAAAGTGTGAATCAGGGGATTCAGGTTTTAAGGTAAACTCAAGCTGTTAGCAGAGTCTTAGTTGATGCTGGTTAGAGCATATTCTACTTGCTAATGAATACTGCATCATTACCTTGAGGGAAGCCAAAGTGGAAATGCCGCCAGGCGGCTCAAAGAAATAGAGGAATTATGTTGCTGTCAGTTCCTGATAAAATATTAAGTAGGATTATTTATGAAAGAGTTTTAGATGCTACTGATAAAATGCTAAGAGTTTAACAGGCTGGTTTTCCACCAAACAGATCCTGTACTGAACAGCTATGTTACGTATAATAATCAAGCAGAGCACTGAACTGAATCATCACTTTACACTGAATTCATAGACTATGAAAAAGCTTTTAACAGCATTGATAGGGAATCTCTCTGGAAATTAGTGGGGCCCTATGGAATCCCACAGAAAGTTATTAACTTAGTAAAGGCAACATACAAAAACATTAAATATCAAGTTCTTCATTAGGGAAAGCTAACAGATACATTTAAAATAAAAACAGGTGTAAGACAGGGATGTTTTCTGTTCCCTCCTATTTTTACTGGCAATATATTGGATTATGAAGACAGCAACTGCTAACACCAAGAATGGAATTCAGTAAACCCCTACAAAACAGCTTGATGATCTGGACTTCACTGATGATATTTCTCTTTTGTCCCACTCAAGGAATCAAATGCAAGACAAATTAAGTATACTGGATGCAAAATCACAAATAGCTAGGTCTGAAAATCCATAAGGAAGAGAAAAAGATAATGAGAATAAATCAAACAGTAATATGGTTTTTCTCCATGGTATCCCACTCCAAGACATGTAGTCCTACATCTACTTGGGCCATAATGTAGATAAAGATGGGGAACTGATAGAGATGTTAAAATACGAATACAAAAAGCAAACAGAGCTTTCACAGCACTAGGAAATTTGTGGCGATGAAAAGAAATTAAAACTATTACCAAACTAAAAATTTTTAATTCTAATTTTAAGTCAGTACCCTTGTATAGAGCGGAAACATGGAGAACAAAACAACAAAGGCAATTAATAGTAAACATTCATTAACTTGTGCTTGCACAGAATAGAAGAAATTAAATCGTATGACAGAATCACTAATGTGGAGCTTTGGGAGACAACTTAACAAATTCAAGCAGACCAAGAGGTGAAGAAAAGAAGCTGTTGTTGAACAGGACACACCCTGAGAAAACCTGAGAACAATGTACCTAGAATGTCTTTGCATTGGAACCCATAGGGGCATAGACATATAGGAAGACGCGCCCCCCCCCCCCCCCCCCCCAAAAAAAAAATAAGAGAGAAGGGAACTAGAGAGCGAAGTTAAAAAGATGGGGAGGACGGGGGGAGAGCTGCATGCAATAGAAAAGAATAGAACGGCTTGGCATGAGTTGGTTGAGGGCCTATGCTCCACTTGGGGTTAGAAAGGCAGAAGAAGAATGAGTACTGCACCATTATCTTGAGAGGGGCCAAACTGGAACTGCCACCAGGCGGCTCAAAGATATCACCCCCCCCCCCCCCTTCCCAAACAAACTTCATAATAGGAACAATCCAAAAAGAGGTTACTTAGATATCAACAGCACTGTACACATTTGTAAAGAATGCTGGATTAAGAATCAACATCACAGAACATTCCCATGAGATGGTATCTTAGCCCAACTTCAGCAGCTAGCACAGTTTTTATTTCAATGGTATCAGTAACAGTCTGATCGTATATCCATCCTGCCTTTTCTTGAGTGTTGGCCATTGATCAGACCCAATGGTCACTCCTCGTAGCATCATACTTCTCAGACAATGATGATCTGTTTATGCCTCTGCACTGTTCACTTGCTTCCTATGTTCTGTTATGTTATCACAACTGATATCACTGCACAATGGGCATTCGCATGCGTGCTCAGTCCTCCGATGCAGCAGCCACCCCAAACTACTTCTACTAATTGTTCCCATGAGATGTTGGTTATAATGTCTTCTATCTCGAGCTCGAGCCAGCATAGACACACTTCACTATGCTTTACTTCCATCTTCCATAGGACCTTCACAACATCTAGCTTGTTAGGCATCAAACCTGCTGAAAGCTGCAGTCACCACCTCCACCTCCAATCTCAAACCATATGCTGTTGTATCATATGCCAGGCTTTGTTGCACCAAGTGACGTCAATTCACTTAGTTATGAACCCACATACGCTTTGTCTGCCCCTCAACACAGAGCCATCTGTATAGATAATCACATCAACTGGGCGGGAATTATCATGAGTCAGCTCACTGGTCAGTCCCTGCACTCACTGCCCAATGTGATTAGAACCCTAAGCAAGTTTGATTATTGCCATATTCTATAAACTCACCATCAACAGGAAAACTGTAGTTTCCATGATTACCACCTCATCTTAGATATAAATAGCAAATTGTTAAACACCAACATACATGAATATATATTATGGCTAATTTTTTCCCTAAGTTAACTTGAAGGTATCCAAAAGTAATAGAAACTAGTGACATATTTACAGATCCTTGTTCCTGGCCAAGTGCTGCATTGACTACGCCTTTCAAAATGTATTCCTGAGGTGTTGTTGGTTCCAAGTCTTTGATAAGATTATATGCCTCTTGAACATCATCTGAGTAAGATTATAAGATCAATATAAGTACAATACTTTTGATAGTTCACATAATGGATAAGTATGCTTAAGGTTTTAACCTAATAAAGGTCTGATTCTTAGTTAACACAGGGTAAAACCATTGAAGGTATTCTGAAATAAAACAAAGAACTCTAGAAGCAAAAATGAATCAGTCTTTTATAAGACTTTCAGGTGTAGGCAGGATGATAAACAATTTTAAAAAAAAAAGTTTAAACTGAACGTGGTGAGTAAACAAATATCAGACACTTTTACCAGGGCAAGAGACAATCAAGCTGAGCATTATCTATAAAGGTGTATGCTGTTAGAAGCCAAAATTATTCAGGAAAAAAGCAACCAAAAATATATGAAATAAAATAATCACAATACTTGCATTTATCTGTTTGTAATTTTATTTTTTCAAAAGTTTCCCGTTTGTCACCAAAATATTCAAATATTCTGCTGCATGGCTGTTACACGCATAATGGCATTTCCTGTTAACTTCCTTTTTATTTTTTTAAATAAGTCCAAACTAAATTACGTGTGAAGTGAGGTATTTCAGTAACTGGGGGGAGGGGTTATCTGCTGCTTAGTGCTCACTGAACTAATAATATAAATGCACCAACCTTGCTTTAAAAAGTGGATGACAAGATTGAGCCTGGCCTCTGGTATCACACCAATAAGAGGTGGCAGAACTTGAAGAGAACCATCACCATTACGGAATACAACCTACACAAAGTAAATTTTTAAAAAAGATGCAGTAATAAAAGAAATTTAAGACAAATTTTATGTATCCATGATGAATTTTTGCACTGAAGATATTAATTATACCCATTTTTAAAACTGTTGAGTGCTGAGAATACATTAAACACACAAACCTAAACCAGTAATGACAGAAAACCTGACATAACATCTTACAAGAACTAACTATTTCCATCATGTGAGTGTGTATGTGTGCACGCTTATGTGTTCAAGGTATTTTCCAGTAGCTAATCCCTATTGGACCTGCTAAGTTTCTGTTTGTAAACTAGTTTTTAAATGTGTCTGTGAGGGGCATTTTATGTGATTTTCAATGGCAAAGGAATGGAGCAATTATGGGGTGACTCATTTGCAGTCAAGTTCAAACCTCGACTGAGACTACTACTATAAGGCCATATGCGGGTTTTAAAAGAAATAGCGAATTTGGGTCAGGTGGACAATTTTTGGAAAAGTTCATTTTTAAACACCTTAGTATGTCTTCTGTCAGATTCATTACTTGTAGTTGTATTTTTTAAAAAAAATGTATTTTAATGAAATATTATATTTTACTGAGCTAACTTAGTTGTCAATTGTTTAAATTTTTTATTTTTTGAAAACTGTTAGAAAATTGACGATTATTTGGACTTAGTGAGACTTAGCAAAGCTACTCTCCACAAGCGGTAGTATGTCCCCTGCATTGTTTGGGAGGTTTTGGGATTGTAGTATGTCACCTTTCTGATTCACAGCTCTTTCATCCATCCCTACATCTTTCTAGAGACTTCCAATAAAGGTGTAAACATGACCTTGCTCACTAGCACAAGCTATTCCCAATTTCCCTTGATTGAAACTGATCAAGTGTGAATCCAATTCTCCAAGATGCCAATGTGATCGATTGTTTGCGCTGAGAGCGTGGAAATGCTACGAACTGAAAAATGCCTTGTCCCAAGAAATTCACCCTCCGCTCAACTGATCAACATAAGAAATTTTGAAGTCCACAACTGACAGATGCTCGTAAGAAAAAATAATTTACCAGAGAGTTGTAAACATTACAGACAACCTGGTACTTGATGCAGCTGAACAGCATATGCCCGGGACTAGTCTCACTAGTCAAAGTTGTTGAAGTGATTCTTTTCTTGCAGAAAAAATCTGAAGCCAGTTTAAAAGAGATACGTAAGAATATACGAAGACAACTTATCACTGACATCAGAAGGAGGCAGTCATCATTTTTCGGCCATGTTATGAGAAGAGGGAAAATAGAACATGTTGTGACCACTGGAACGATCTGTGGAAGGAGGGATAGAGGAAGACAACGAGAGAAGATGCTTGACAGTCTTGTTGCATGGCATGGAGGTGTGTCGGCACACGAACTGATACATGCTGCAGGAGATCGCGGATTATGGAGAGGCATGATCGCCCACGCCAGTCGGCAAGGCACCTGATGATGATGATGAAGAATATACGACCTCCTCTAGCAGCAAGTATGTGTTTGTTGATGACAGTGGTTAAAAAAAACAAAAAAACTGGAATACAGTGAAGAAGCTGACTTTTCCAAAAGAGATAGAATCATCAAAACATGTTGTCCAATATGTAAAAATACTAATCTTTTTTTTTTTTTTACTGTCGGCAAGAAAGCTAAAGTATCGGATGTGCATGTAGAAGCTTACTGCTCTTGTTGTGAAGATGTAGTTTGTGGAAAGTACCGAACTGCAAGAAGTAATGATGGAGATAGACATTTTGCCTTTAACAACCAGTCTGTTTATTCCGCATTCATTTGTGAAATGGGTGCAACAGCATTCAATAATTTTTTGTGAAAATATGAACCTGCGAGGTCTTCATCACAAAACATTTTATAACAAAGCACATAAACTATAGTTATAAAATCTGGAGGACATGGTTTTCTCTCAAACTGTGAAGTATGTTCAGAAAGTTCATGTACAGCAGTCAGGCATCACTATACATGACAATGATGTGCTAGCTATTACTGTCAGCTTTAATGGCACTTGGCCGATTAGAGGCCACACATCATATATTGGGGTTGGCTGTGCAGTGAATGTACTTAACAGGACTTGTGCATCTTACGTCCACATACTGTCAGGCGTGTAAAACCACTGGTAAGACACTTTCTAGAGCTAAACCAGCTGAATTTGAAGCATGGAAGGCAGACTGTCTTCCAGAATGTGACGACAATTTCAAAGGATCTGCAGGAATGATGGAGATGGAGGCTGCACGATGGCATAAGCTTCGCTTTACATTACTTCTTACAGATGGTGATGCCAAAATGCGGACCTTACCGAGATTGAACCATATGAAAAGGATATTCACATAGTTGAAGAGGAGTGTATCATGTCAGGAAATGCTAAGGAACAGAACTATGTAATGTTGTTGTTGACTGCCGAAAGCAAGGTGTGACACTAGGGGGACATGGTAAAGGTCAGCTTACAAAAATATCATCCATAAGCTGAAAATTGATTACAATAGAGCAATAAAGAACAACACTAGCATAGAGTAAATGAAGAACAGTGTTATGGCTTTATTGCATAACTGTTTTTCAACAGACGTAAGATCATACCATGAAATGTGCTCAAGTGGAGAGCAATCTTGGTGTCATTTTAAGTTTACGTCCACCTGGCTAAGCATCAGACACTGTGTACTAATGACGTTAGATACATGGCTCAACCGTGACAAACTAAAGAAATAACTTTTGCCAATTTATGACAGGCTGTCTGACTCTAAACTACTCAGTAGATGTGTGTCAGGAAAAACTTAATACAAATGAGTGGTTATACAGTCTGAAATGGGCTTGCTGTACTAAAGACAACTTTGCCTTGCACAAACCCATACAATTAGCAGCTGTAACTGCAACTAGAGAGTTGAACTTTGATGCTGCTGCTGCCCAAGACACTGCCCAGTTGCTGTTGTGGGGGGGGGGGGAACAACAGTGCATTAGCAGCCAAACTGATAAGACCAGAGGGAGGTTCTGCATCTGCAGCGGGACTGCTCTAATGACTACGCATTGTTAAAAAAAAAAATGTCTGCATAGAATAACTTCTTAAAGCATTAAAAAAAACTTAATTAGTAAAAGAACTCATGAAAACAATCACCCCCACATCTCCCCCCCCCCCCCCTTTCATCAAAAAGTGCTCGTCTGATTATAATGAGCAGCGTCCGTGGCGTTGCGAGTCCAATTTGTAATTCCAACGTACCGCGATCAAAACCCACTGCTGGCTGCGTGGGTTTTTATCATGGTATGGGGCGTCACAGGTCGACCCATCCTAAAATGGGTACCAGGATGGCTGTACTGGGGAAGGAAAGATGGCCGGTGTAAAGCTGACCACATTACCCACCTAGTGCCAATTGGTCTGTAAAAATATAGGGTGCCCTTCCCATATGCCCGATGCACCTAAGGCATAAAAAAAGGGATCTTTACTTTACTTACTACTGATTATAATAAAACTGTGTAAAAAAAAAATAAAATTTAAAAATATAATTTTTAAAATTATGCAGACAAGAAACCGACAAGTGACGTCAGAAAAAGCTTCTGTCATTCTGTAAAGGACCTGCACATACAAAGATGATGGTTTCAGGCGATTCCCAAGAAATCCAATATGGCTGCTATATATCTTGGTTTTCAAGAGCACAGTAAATTTGACAGTAGTTTATTGATCAGCAGTCTTCAGTATAAAAAAACATCATACCATATTAGAACATTGAAATTAAATAGAATACAATTTAATTTTTGTCTGCCTCACATTGCCTTAATTGGTTTGTGGTGTTTGATTTGGATATACATAACCAGAATCATGTATTCTACACATATCTGTTTTAGTGAGTAACTTACACAATTTTAAAACTTAGCCTAAATGGTGACATTCCTTTTTTCTTTCTTTTTAATTTCCAACTTATAGAAGATTTTAATGTAGGCAAAATGTATATGTATCCTTCAAGCTTGTCACAAGCAGCATTCTACAGGAGAATCAGTATTCTTCCTCCCCATGCGGGTTCTAGGGCCAGACTCTGGAGGAAAACAGAACAGACCCACTGCCTCCCTAACAAGCATGTTCTACAGCACAACAAGTAAGGGGAGTTTCCTTCAAAGTTGCAGTGCATCTGCCTGACAGGCCAGGAACCAACAGTCTGCATACAAATAAGCTAGAGCTGGAAAACAGACCTGACCCACTGAGTCAACAAAGTCAGCTGCATATTCTTTACAAAATGTTGCAGAACCAGCCCCAGCAATTTATTTTTTTACTGTTGTAGTTTTTCTAGGCAAATTTTACAATTCAGTAGTTTGCCAGTGCTTTCTGAATGGTCAGTGTTCAGCTCTCAGTACCACTGTCAAAACCAATGCAAGTCATTCTGAAATCTGGAATTCTCATCAACGTGGACTCAGAGGAAATGTTCTGGAAAGAAAGGCAGCCGATATGATGTTGACCACATCACTCCTTAAAAGCCTACAGGACTATAAAAATAAAAAGCTAGCATCATATGCCAGAGACATGAAAAAAGGTCCTTTACCACTTACCTTTTACTGTTGATTAGACATTTTGTTGTTGTTGCTGTAGTCTTTGAGAGTCCAGATTTAGGACTGCATACTTTTTCAGGGACTGCGCGCACACACACACCATATCCATTTAGAAGATTCAAACCAAAGTCTCCTGCATGATAGCACAGCATTCCGCACATTTGGTCAGCCGCTCCTCTGACCTTTTACTTGTTGTTCAAATGTGCTCTTAGTGGATGGTATTAGTTATCTTTTGTGTTCTTTAATTCTCCTGCATAATTTCACCAACTATTTCACACTACCGCTTCTAATTAAAATGTCATTATCCCCTCTCTCTGATTTTCAACCATTAATGCATTCTCTTATTTTTTTTACATAAGGTCAGAGCATATTAAAGAATTTTGGCTACTTCAACTGTCAGATCCACTGTGTACTTAACCTCTTTGAAAGTAACACATTTAATATTTTTCAGAACTGTAATACCATCATCCACCTTACAAACACGTCCCTCACTTCATAATGATAATAATGTTCAAACATGTTTGATGTATGTAAACAAGTACCTAAAATGTAGTGAAAACAACCACTATACATCTTTTATAACGAAAAGCTGTTTTATGACTCAGAGATTTAATGTGGAAGTTTATCACTGAATCTGAGAGGACAAAATATTTCTACTAAGACACACAGCACAAGTATACTGATGATAGCAAATTGGAAAAACCCCATCAATTGCCTCACACATTTTATATATTTCAATTCTGATTTTGCTTTTGTAACAAGAATTAATGTTTTACATGACAATACACTTCAAAAACACAAGTAAATGTGACGTTTTTCATGAATGTTTAGGGGCATTAATGTTAAATTACTCAAATTTTGCAGGAACGAAAATAACCTACAGTATTAACTAAGAGTCTCGTAAACAGGTCAGTACAGACAAGTAGGAAAAGTGACATTTATGGGGAGTTGGATCAAAAGTGAAGTGTCAATTTCGTGGCTTCTCATTATGAAAGGGTTAAACTGTGACCATACAATATGTACACAAATTAGTGTCACGTTAGTTAGATTTATGACATACCTGATTGTGCTTGATTAAATCTTGTGCAAACTGGAATGATGAAGATGCCATTTCCTGGAGTGCTTTAAGCTCAGCCTTAACAAACAAACAAAATGAAGAAAACAGATAGAATTAGACAAAGATTGTTAATGTGGAGTGAAATTATTTAGAGGTAAAGTTATCTGCCTCTAAGTTCTGGGGATAAACCGAACTCTACATTTTTACACAAGATTGTTTAATGTGTTCCTGAATATAAAAGGAGAAATAATTGCAGGCTGTGACAATTCTGTGAACAACCTGAGAGATGCAGTAAAATATATGGAACTAGCTAGTAAAATACCAAAATGCCAGACAATATGCTGAAATAATACAGAATTTGGTGCACAATTCTCAGATTTTCATAATGCAAGAAATAGTGATTGCCAGTGACAATAATATTGACTTTCCGGATACATTTTGAAAATTATAATCAATTTGAGAAGAATCAATAAAGACAAATGAAACAAAATCTCTACCACTCATAGTGACAAGTAATAAAACAACTCTAGAGCCTTCCAAGGCAATGATCAATAAACTGGAGACCTGACATGGCAGACAAAGTATGTGTTCATACACCCATAGCCAAATAATAAAATTACTGCAATTTTCTTTCAGCAAAATAGCTAAGCTATCCAACAGACTAATTCTGATTTAGATATGTTTCAGAACAGTGCATTGTGACAATAGACAAGGGATAATCTTAAATAATTCACTGAGTTATGTCGAACTAAATGTGGTGAATTATTGATTATTTATCTCAATAAGCAAAGTTAGTCTGGAGACAGTTACAATAATGTTCATCACTGGTGCCCTATTTCCAAGTGTAATGCTCAAGGAGATCATGACAATGATAACCTTCCATGTGGGGTCATACTACGTTAATTTAACCTAATAAGGAGGTCAAGCCTTTTAGACTCTCCTACTATCAAAAAACGTCAACAGATGATGCAATGGGGGATATTTTCACCCAGATTAGGATGGTTAGGGGGAAGGCCCAAAGCTGACCTAAAACACCGAGATAGTCCAGATACTCGGATTAAATGAGAATCTTGAGATAGGTGATGACCGCTAGTTATCACGGGTACCACGAGAATGTGACCAAAGGTCGCCACGAGAAAAGTAAAGGACCACCACGTGTTGTCACGTGAAACTAACCCGTGGTATAAGTCAGACTTGACTCTGGTCAAGTTTAGTTTTGTGTCGACCTGTTGGAGTGAGAGGACGTGCGACTGAAAGTGAGAATGTCAACGTAAGAGTGCTTGTGGAGAAAGGAGATCCTGACGACGAAGTGTGAAGCTGAGATCGACCATGCCAGTCTGTGTGATGGCCAGAACCTCAACGTGAATCTGTGGGAGCCGACTTTGGTCAGTGAATGCTTGAAGAAGACTGCCCGTTGAAGGCTGCGTGAATTTGTGTGCGAGAGCTGTTTACTAGGACAACGACAGGACCTTTTCTGTAAGTGTGAATATGTCAATAAACTCATGTCTCGTAAGCTCACATAGGTGTCGGCTTGTACCAGTTGTGTAACGTGGAGCGTGTGAGAAGAACATCCACCACACACGCATGAACACTACCTAGACAACGAGTAAACAAAGACACCCGTTTATTACAGATGATAGTTTTATTTGCTTTAAGAAAAAAAACAAATCAATATTTATCTATCATAGTGGGATGAAATGGTAGATGAGGTTTGCATAGATACGTTGAAGGTAACAGTACAAATAGAGAGAAATATGTATCAATGTGCCCGGCTTAAACAGAGACTAGATTTAAAAAAACTGCAAAGACTTATTTACAACCACTTTGAGTCCTAAGCTTAAAAAAAAATATCTCAGAAGAAATGTTTGGATTTTGACAGAGATCCCTGGGGATGGCCACAAGAGCTATGGAAACTGTTGACAGGCATCTAGCCATCGTGTGAAGAAATACTGAGCCATGTGGGATAAAATCTTGTGCAATAATTCAGACTTCTTGACTGTAAACCAATAGGATTTATTTGTATCTGAAATCTAAATTTGAAAGTGTGTATAAATTATGGAATTTACATTAAAATAGCCAGACAGCTCTGCTCATTTCAAACATCAGGTACTGTTTCAATGGCACCTTTCCAGATGATAGTGTTATATTGTACTATAGTAAGACATGGAAATAACAGTGAGTGACTAGTAAGACTCGTTTACGCTAAAGAAATCTTCCACAATTAGAACATGTGATTTCTGGGCCATTGTTGTGACTAAATGTATTAAATGTGCTTCTTCTGAGGTGTTCAGCGTTTTATCTACCTGCAGTCTATATTTTCCTTTATTCCCATTGCCTTCCTGATTTTCCTCCCTCATGCAACATAGTTCATGGCATTTTGTACAAATAAATCTACCTCAATACCTGTATCACACCCACGTGCACACAACTTTATACTGTAGTAGTAGCCAACTTCGACATCATCTATCCTACTGCAGTTCACAACAGAGGATGTCTTCAGTAACTTTACCATCCTTCGAGTGTTAACTAGCCATATGAGTCTTTGAAGACTGAACATTGAGAAAACTGTTGTGATACCTGCTCTTTCCAAGTGATCTTGCCTTGCCATTTATCTCTTTAAGCCCCAAGGAATGAATAACACGCTAATCGGTTACTACACAGCAGCCTAAAGGTGCGTGATGCGTAGGTTTTTAACTCACCACTAAACACATGTTTATCAAATTTATACGAAGCAAGACAAAGAAAGTTGTGAAGTAGACTTGTTTCAGTTACTGATAGAGTCAAACTTTGATGAGGAATAGCTTTGATATATACCTCATGCAAAGCCTACAAATCAGCTGATACAAATAGAATATTAGTGAAATTTCGGAACACAAGCTGAGTGTTATATAAAAGTTATTGGGGGGGGGGAGGGGTGGGGGGGGGGGGGTGAAAAAAACTGGGGAGTCCGGCAAGAGTTAATTGCAAGTTTTAGTTAAAAGAATTGCGCACGTAAAATAAATATATTTAAACATAGACGCTAAAAGAATAAAAAGGTACAAAGGCGCACATAATTTATGACGTTTTGTGGTGTTACTAGGAGACCTAATTTCGTCACAACACCGAACGATTGCCAGCCATACCATCGGCCTAACACCCACAATAAAAATACCATATACAATTTCAGGTGAGATTTATAATGGTAGGGAGTAGCTGAGATCCCCTATAAGCCTTAGCTGTATCCTAAAATATTTTATTGAGATCCTACTATTCTATATTCTACCATTGTATAAATATTCCGTAACTTCATCAACCTTGATACTTGTCCGTTGGACAATTCACTAGTCCTTACCTATTATGACGTTCTTAAAGTTACTATTCCCCGTTAGGACTATTCAATAGCGAACCCTTCTTCCCTCTGTCACTCTTATATTCATTCGGTCTACTTGCGTAAAGATCTTATAGTAGAAACCGTGATCCTGTGCCATGTGGTATCATCAGTTGGGTATACATTATATTGTTTATGTCATTATATTATGCAATACATGATTTGAGTAAAAGTCGTCAGCTTTGTGGGCATATCGGGTTGGCCTATGTTTATAGACCAAGTGGTACCTAGGTGTTGATGTGGTCAACACATCACACCTGCCGCCTTTACTTCCCATTACTATACCTGGTGTCCGTTAAGGCGAAGTCGACCTGGGTTTTGGGACTCGAACTAATAACTGTCCAATCCGCAGGCGAATGTGTGTCCGCTTAATTATGTCAAGTTTTATATGATCGTGCCATAATTTAGATAGGTATAAACCAACATATTATAATAGGGTGGAGATGTATAATTTTGATTTACTTGTAGGGAAAGACAACATATGAACCTTGTTCTTTCTTGCTTACTACTCTGAAAAACACCACAGACACCGCAACACCTCCACCTGCTCCAGATGTGTCGACATAATGCTCAACACAGGGCTGAATGATGTATTCCGCAGGTTCCCGTGTTACCGTAGTCCTGCCTGCCTGTTTACCAGAGGACCAAAATCCCGTGCTCCCGTATTCAAGTCTGCCTGTTTACCAGAGGACCAAAATCCCGTGCTCCCGTATTCAAGTCTGCCTGTTTACCAGAGGACCAAAATCCTCCCGTGCCCCCCCTGTTTTTACCAGAGGACCATAATCCCGTATTCCCGTTTTACGCTATGCCTGTTACCTGTGGATTGTGAACCACCATCCCTGTTACCTGTGGATTGTGAACCACCATCCCTGTTACCTGTGGATCGTGAGCTGCCATTCCTGTTACCTTGTGAATTGGGAACCAGACGGTATAGAATGAACAACCGAGATCTCACAGATGAATGTCGCAGTTAGGCGAGGACTATAACAGTCGCAGCCAGAATCTTGTACATTCCTCCCAGAGAAGCTGCAGTTGGACACATCCCGTATATCGTAAAGCTGAGTGCTGAGTGTTACTGAATATTTGTATAAATTAATGTGGTGTCATGATGATACATTTATTTATTTTCTCTGTGTTAATTTGAAAATTGTTGAATTCAATATCAGTATTTTATCAATACAGTTGTGGTTTAGAAATTCCATTTATTGATTTCATCGTATCAAATTTACTTCTTAGGTAGACTAAAGATTGTTCATTGCAAATTTATTTGAGTTAAATTTACAAAGTTTTGACTTTGGTGGTTTTTTTTCTGAATTTCTTTAGGACATTTTCGGGGATTCACCCTATTCTTTAACTTTCTGTATTCTCCTTCCTCTATTTTCCAGAACTCAGGGACCGTTATAATTCCCCTAGACTTATTTAATTCGAGCCCTGTAAGTTAATTTGGAAGGATATAGGGGATCTCCAGGCGACGATAGATTCCGCCAAAAAATAGTTGATTACAATTGGGGTCTCTTACGCGGGATTTTTCAGAAGTTAGGTCATTAAAAGTAGTTATTAATAGGAAATTGGTAGGAATTTAAAGGTAAATAATATTAGGCAAAAATTAACTTTAGGGAAAATAATATAATAACTTTACACTGGTGTTTATTTGATTGGTGTTTGCGTGTGTTCTTTTGAAGTATATTCTGCAGGTAAAATGGCAACAAGA